GAGACAGCTCTCTAATTTATTTTGGCACTGCACTATCTCTTTTTTTTTTTTTGGCAAAATGTACTTGATTTTATTGTTGGAAATATTGATGTAAATGTTACTTTATAGTGGAAAGATATTCTTTTTGGCATTATTGTAAACTCAAAAGATAAACAGACCCACACGTCTTTTAATATTATATATATATATATATATATTTATTTTAATAGCTAAATGTCATATTCATAAATGTACATTTTTAGGGGAAAAACATGTTTTATAGTATTTAAAAATGAAGTAAAGCATTATATTGAGTCTATATTGCCCTCGATGAAACAAAAAGCTATTCGAATTTTGCACGCTTGCACATTCCTTAATGTATTCCTGTAATGTTTATGTCTAATAATGTCTCCCCCTAGCATTTGAAAAATGTTGTATTGTAATTGTATTGACTGTGTTGATATTCTGTTCTATCAAAAAAAATAAAAATCTAGTGCGGATGTAAATTTTAGTTATACATAAGAGCACAGCAGGACATTTACAATCTAGGGTCACAGAATTTCAGCTCTGCAGTGAAGTATTAGCCGGAGGACATGACCCATCTACGATCTGATGTTAAGCACAGTGGATTAATCGTGTCTGCAACTTAACTGCATCATCCTGTGATGCTTGTCAGATGTAGGCCTACTGTAGGGCTCTGTTATGCCACATCAATCACAAGCAGAACCATGCGAAACCACAATCCTGCTACATAGAAACATTTGAATGACTGAAGAGACATGAAATGAAATTATTTTTGAGTGTTGGAAAATAGGTAGGCTACTTGGGTAGGCCTACCTTTATGTTCCCTTTTAAGGGTTAATGTATTGAATAAATAATTAAACAAATTTAATAATATGGATATTTCCAAATATGTAAATCATATTAGTTTTGTTTTATCACAATTTAATAAACATTGGGGTTATGTATATTACTTTATATAAATACTTTCTTGACAACACATACATTCGTTTAAAAATTTATATGATGCATAACAGGAATGACCATTGAGGTGTATTTGTTCTTTAAATTAACCACAGTCAAGTTTTAACCAGACATAATATGTAATTATTCCTACACCAGTTGGAATGAAAGGGAACGGCAAAACAGATTGCAATAGATTATGGATTATAAAAGCATCAGACGGAGCTAGAGGTCTCAGCTAGAGGACTCAGCTCCTGTACATCTCTGCGTTGTTGTCTCTGTGTCCAACGTTTACTGAACGTTTGCAGGAGTCCACGCTGGCTGGGCTCTGTAACCAATGCACATGACATGATGTAGGATTAAAAAAACAGACACACACACACACACATTTATTTAACATCGACTACCTCTCTGAAGTTCAGTTGGGGAAGGTACAGGCAGGCATTTCCCAGGGTCCTCGGTAATTACACCCAGGTTTCTGTTCCATTGGTTCCAGTTGACTTCCTCCACACTGAAAGAAAGAAGACACATGCTTCAATTATTGCTCATTGGTTTCACTCTATGTGTTTGAAAGTAAATGTATTTACTTTGGGCATACATAAAATGTATTGCCCATTTTCAGATGGGAGACAAATGCAAACTTCAGATCTTGTGGTTTCGGGTGGAAGTCACCATGGGTCACCTGAAGCACCAGCGTCGATCAGGCTCCTGCCCCCCACCTAGGTCCTTCTCTTGCCCAGAACGCAGCTTTATCTTCAGACATTGGGGAAGAATCCACTCCGTGTCCAAGGTGGTGATTGCACGCTGTGAATAACAATCATATTTATTGCCTGATTGAACAACTAAAATTGCAAACCATTACATATGTTACGCAAACAGTTGCCCATTGTATCATTTCAAGTGATTACAGTGTAAGTTCAGACACAAGACAGCTTTAACTTTGCCTTTGATTTCACCTGTAGTTTCCAGATGCTGGTGCTCTCTACGGACATCTCCTCCACTCTTTGATTCATCAGAGCGATCAGCATGTTCAGCATCAAAATGTAAGTCATCACTATATACAGAATTAGCAGCACATAGAAGACCTCTGTATATTGATATTGATCGGTGAACTCCAGATCTCCCATGCCAATCGTAAACTTGAACAACTCCAGAGTGGTGAAGTAGATGCTCTTGAATGTGTTGTTCTTACAATGTTCATCAGAACTGTCCTGCTTAGCTTGTCCTTCAGAACGGTCATTACATTGTTTTTCAGAAATGTTTGTTCTTTGATCTTTGTTGATAGGCTCCTCATCAAGCAGAGTTACCACGGCTGTTGAGTAAGAAACAAATCATTAACACACACTATCACTCAAACATTTGGGGTCTGTACGATTTCTTAATGTTTTTGACAGAAGTCTCTTATGCTCACCAAGGCTGCATTTATTTGGTCAAATCAGTAAAACAGTAATATTGTGTTTCTATGTTAACATATTTTAAAATGTAATGTATTCCTGTGATGACAAAGCTGAATTTTCAGCATCATTACTCCAGTCTTCAGTGTCACATGATCCTTCAGAAATATTCTAAATAATATAGGCTACTGATTGATTACATTTATTATTATGATCAATGTTGAAAACAGTTGTGCTACTTAATATTTTTGTGGAAGCCGTGATATTTTTTCAGGATTCTTTGAAAAATAGAAAGTTCAAAAGAACAGCATTTATTTGAAATATAATGTTTTGTAACTATGTAAGAGTCTTTACTATCAATTTTAATCAACTGAATGCATACTTGCTGAATACAAGTATTACTTTCTTTCAAAAAATCTAAAAATCTACTGACCCCATACTTTTGAACAGTAGTGTAATTGGGAAGTGTTTGTTGTGTTGTGATAAATATGAAATGAATTGTAATAAAAGAGTCAAGGACATTTATGAATGCATGCAAGGGTACCTGTAGAGAACCCAATGAGGAAGACCATGTACACGACAAGGAATCGACGAATTTCCCCAAGAACCATCTGACAACAATTAAAGAGTGTGAGAGTGTGTCGTACAAACATGAAGTAAAAAAGCCTGAACTGTGAAGACTAGTCTACACTACAATGAGGCATTAAATGTGTTGCATAGCATCTTTCCACAGTGCTACACAAACCACACTTTACTAACACTCTAGGATGATGGATAAGAAAAACAATTATCCCTCACCTTTTGTATCATGACACTGTAGATTCCCATATTTTTGGACCCTCTGGAGAAGTAGAGTAGATTTACCCAGCTCAAGGCAAGACACAAAACTAGCCAGGCCACATATTGGTCCTGACCCAAGCAGTACAGTAGAGCACACACCAGGAAAAGCACGGCCTGCAGAAAACTAATGCAACAAAATGCAAGAATAAACAATGTATGCATTTAATGACTACTGTTTCTGTAGGACAAATGAGTCTGAGTAATGCAATTACTGTGCGTTGTGCATATACAGTGATTTCAAAAACTTAAAGGGTTAGTTCACCCAAAAATGAAAATTAGCTTGTGTTTTACTCACCCTCAAGCCATCCTAGGTGTATATGACTTTCTTCTTTCAGACAAATCCAGTCGGAGTTATATTAAAAATTGTCCCGGCTATTCCAAGCTCTATCATTGCAGTCAGCGGGTGTTGCAGTTGAACAGTCCACAAGTCGTCAAATAAAGCACGCGCATCCATAATAAAACGTGCCTCACATGGCTCCGGGAGGTGAATAAAGGCCTCCTGTAGCGAATCCATGTGCTTTTGTAAGAAAAATACCCATATTTCAAACGTAATAATAAACACTTCTCTCTCACTTCCGGCTTCTGTCATACGTGGAAGCCGTTCCGGCGGATGACGTAGCACGTCGGCGTTGCGTGATTAGTGACGAACGCGGAGAGAGAACAAAACAAAACGCCGGTCACGAATTAGAAGTACAAACCGAGGATTTGCAAAGAAAAATGTCGGAGGATTT